GGAGAGCGAATGAATTGAGGGGTGTGGTGTCTTTCGTCTGTGAATCACAGATTGCGTAAAACTCAAAATCAGACAAACACGAGTATGGGGGATGGAGAATTCCCATCATCCTAAAAGCAACAAAAATATCGACAAAAAAATTAAAGGTCGCAAGTGGACCTTACTTTATGTTTTGACTATTTTTGCTCTAGATCTAAGACAGATTGGAATTAATGTGCACATGGGGAAGCGCATGGTTTTAGTTTAAAGAGAACTCACCAGGTACCACATTCGAGGCCAACTTGGATCATTTGGGGGAGGCTGGAGATAGACGTCCCGTTTTACTCTGACCTTGGCTACTTGTTGTTCTGCCCATCGGACCTAGAAAAGAGACATAAATTTCAACTGTTAGTTAAGTTCGCACTTCATTTACTTAATGACTGAAAAATTTTACCAAACAGGGTTTTGTTCTCTCACAGTCAAGATACACTGTGAAGGCTAAAAATATTATTAAAAATAGTCAAAGTATTTAGAGTATTTTAAATTTAAACTATCGGTAAAAAATTGGTCCCCCTTCTAATAAAGAGCAATAAGGGATCATTGATTCACCTGTCCCGGTTAACGGAACATGTGCACGCTTCAAAAGACATCTATTTTACAAAGGGAGAAATGGGACGAAACCAGAAGGCAACTTGATTTCTACTTCTTGTGAACATATATATATATATATATATATATTTATTTATTTATTTATTTAATGTTGAGATTTTATTCCAATCAATCTAAGGTTTCTTAGTCCGATCAGGAGAAATAAAAGCTTAAAATATTGATTAATTTAAAAAAATATTTTTCTGAGAACAAATGATCGACTTTCGAAGTGTCTTTAATCTTGAAAATTAAGTAACACGGTGACTGATAAGCCCATTTTCCATTTCATTATCATCAAATTCGACAAATCGAAAGTGAAGAGAAGTGTTGTTGGATAGGATAAATATATAAATGTCTCAGTTAATTGGCAAAAGATGCCTACATATTCAGAACTTAAGTTGGTAATCTTCCCGGTTCTTGGAGATGATAATCAAGGCTATGATTGTTTACATTAATTAGATCCTGAATTCTCTTGGTTTTATAACACTTAGAACCTCTGCTTAAGGTTTTAGATTTTTCTCCAAAACTAAGTCTGTTTTATTTTTAAAATTAGGCTTTTAAAGAGTGAGAGACCAACTATTTTTGCCTCCCCTGAAAACAATTCCTGTTATTGAAAGTGTGGCCTTATCATTTGCTTTAAAATTTTTAGCAAAAAAGCTAACTTTACTCAAAAGGACTTTAAAGCAATAAAAACAGGGGGAATAATATTGGGGAAAATTCTTTAAAGTATTTTATAATGAGAGTTAGGGTGGTCATTATATTATTCACCAATCCTTTTTTAAATAAAGTGTTAATTCATAAAAATCTCCTCGAATCGTTGGCAATTTCTACTTTGAATTTTGTCATTGTTTAGGAAAAAAATTGAATAAACTTGAGGAGAAGTCTACGAAACTTTTAAATCAGCCTTCACAAGAGTAAGAAGTAAGGCAAATGTTTCCAGGTGTTTTAACTGTTCAAGAACGCGTCACCTTTGTCAGACAATGGCTTTTTTGGACGTAAAGAAGGTTATGAAATTTATAGAAGTATGTATATTCAGATCAATGCAAAGATTGTCAAGAACTGGCATATAGAACTCTAGGTCACAGGCAGTGCAGAGGTGTTCCTTGTGACCTAAGAATGGTAATTGAAATCCAGGAGGACATACATTGTCTTCCCATATTCTTTCATTATGAAGAAGCCAATTGATAATTAAATCATTTGCTTTTTATGATAAATATATTTACTTCCCACTCCGCATACAAACATCTAAATAGCAATTTTCACATATCGCTTTAAGTTTATTCTTTGGTCGTTAGTTAAAAATGGTGTTAAGTCCATTGGGAAGCTAAAAACCAAATCTATTTGTTTGACTTAGAGTCAACTGACCAAATAGGGTTGCATCAATACTTTTGAATAACACAAATAAACTATGCAAATGCAATACTGATAGGGGTCCGACACATCGATACTCATTCATTCTTGCACTTGTATTTCGCTTCGGGAAGAGCAATTCCAGTAGATAGCATCAAAGTCGTCAACCCTCCCTATCGAAATGTGAGGTCACATCACAGTTAATTGGGGTGGGCGGGGGGAGGGGGGTGACTCCTATCAATACCATAGCGCTTTGAACTACCAAAATCATCAACGTGGAAACAGAGTGTATATTCCTGCAACATGACTTTGTTTGATTAATAGTGCCTTCACTTAACTGCACTTCGACTTGGCTTTCTCTAGTCTGAGTCCAGATATCAGAACAGTAAAACTAAATCTCCAGGCAATGCCACTGCTTAAAAGGATTACATTTTACAGAAGCGTGTAACTGGACAATTACTAAAACTACTTATCCCATCTCAAAGCCCCTCATTGCACCACGGCCTACATTTTAGACTATTGTGGGTATTGCCATATGAACGAACTCTCAATCACTATTTGGCATCTTTCATAGGTTGAAGCCAGCAAGTGGACTTATTCTTACTTGCTATTTGTAAACAGGTCTTCGGTAAGTACAAAGGATGGACTTTATATCATGGAATAATAGTAATTCTACGCTTGTTTTATAACTCATATAATCATTGTCATGCATCTAGATTCTAATGGGCGGAAGCACAGTTATGTAGGGCGAGCACGCCACTAACACATATTTATACGAACTTTCACTGACACTAGTATTAAAAAAATCTATTTTAGGAGTTAATGTTTCACACTAATCACTACATATAATATATCACCTAGAAACCACCATCTTTCTCCCTTTATAGCACATTCGTGAACCATATTTGGTTCCAGGAATTTAGAGGTAAACTCTTGGGGTTGAGGGCTAAAAAGCCCATAAATATATTTTCAACACTGATTTAATAGGAAATTTAGAATTGTTTGTAAATTGTAAGCAAGGATAAGATGATGTTGAATATGTTGGTTTATTATAAGTAAACTTCAAGCTAGCGTAGCAGACTATACTACCATATTCTACTGTACTATTTACTAAGCATTTTGAAAGAATATGGAACTTTTCACTTTATTCTAACTATCTCCAAACTGTCTTCAACTCACGCAAAACAGCCGTGCTTATTAATTATTCATAGACCTTCCTCTAGCGGAATGAAAATACTTCAATTCAGCAAGTTCATTATTGCCAGCCCCTTGGTTATTTATTTTACCCTAATCATAACTCAATACACCCTTTTCTGCACATTTTAATGGACCTTTTGAGCGGCGGTCCTGAAGTTACGAATGCTGTAACTGGGACCTGAACTGGGGTAGTTAGAACGAAGGGGGGAAGGCGGGAGACTGAACGAACCATATGTTGGCGGAAGAATGAATGTACTTGCACAACATGACTGTGTTATTCATGGATGTCAGAACAGAGCGAGAGGGAGAGAGAGGCAGGGTCAAACAAAGCGTAAATGTGTAAATATGCTTATGGTCTTGCTAGCTAGAAACTATGTCGTTCAAAATCCTTGTAAAAGCCACCTAATTCGCCCATATGGCTGGTAACCAAGTGTGAAGCCAAAAGAAACATTAGTCGAAAGTAATTGATCTTTATTTTTACACACTTGTTGGTGTACATGCCAAGGTTATTGAAATGAGAAGCATTCCATTTGTCATATCAAGAAATTAAAAGCCCTCCTATTTATATTACTTACTCTAATCTTGACAGCTTGACACTCGACAAAAAAGCTTTTCAACTATTTAAAATGTCATTGCAAGGTATTCGATTAGGATGGGGATATTTTTCAAGGTAAAAACGATTGGATAAATGAAAAAAAAGTAAGTTTGAGCTAGCGAAATGTAAAGGGGCAATGAAAAGAAGGATAAAGTGGAACCCAAATGAAGAACAAGTTTAAGGCGAAACATGAGCCAATGACACAGTTGTGCCAGACATGGACCCCACACTGGAGTGAAGTTTAAAAACAATAGGTCTGTCCAAAATTCAGACCAACGGCTAGCACGTCATGGACTCTACCGGCGACTGTGTCCTGTTATCCACATAACTGAAATTCTCTTAAACTTGCAAAACAATTGGCAGCTTGAAACTGTATTGTGTTTACGTTTAATAAAGCTCATATTCAAATACTAAACCTTGACTAGCTGTGCTATCACAAACTTTAAATTATCTGGCGGATTGCGTTTTTGGCAACCACCTCTCCCGGAGATCATAAAACCACCATTTTTTTCTTTTTTCAGAGTAAAGAACTTGAAAAAAAATCCAGAGAAAATTTAATAATTCGGCTACTCTTAAGGTCTTAACTGGACGTTTTCGAAATGGAAAAACTATCGAAAATCTCGTTTTTTTGTGGTAACTTAGGCACGTCTACCAGAAATTTAAATCTAAGTTGGAATATTTAAGAAGGAAGCAATGCTTCGATAATTAAACGGAAATAGTCCTAAATACGGTTCCAGGTGAGGGTTTAATGGGAAAGCTCATGCATACAAATATGCGAAACTATACCCATATCCCGTAATTATGTTATAATACCGATTATGGTTTAAACCACTTTTATAACTTCCGTTAGTTTAAAAAAGAAAAACTCTACCTATATAGATGAAAATGAAATTCTAACTAATTAAGAATAGGGCGGGAAATATTGGGAGACGATCTTTTCGCTGTTTGAATTGTGATTATGAGTCGAGTAAAACATGAATGGCAAGGTAATAAAACTTAGCCTCTTTTCTATTTGTCTGCCTCTCTGCCATTTTTGAATTTATTAAATGGAGAAAAAATATAGAATTCAATGTTGTTCGCAAATAGTGACAATTTAAACAAAGAAAATCACTGATGTGCGGCTGGTGAAGAGGAGGGAAGGAAAATTTGAATAATGATAAAAAGTCGTAAATACACTACATTTGGGATGATTTAGAAATAATTAAATTTGGTGTGTTATCGTATTTAGAGTTTTAACGTTGACTGTGTCGAATTCCTTACTATTTTACTATTTTTAGCGCAAAAATTAATTACATTTGACTAGTAGTTCTAGAGAAGTACAAAGTCATTCATTTTTCATTTTTTGCTTCGTTTTCAAGATTCGAATTTTGCTATCTATTCATCGGATTTCAGAGTGCTTCCTTGTTCAGAATATTGAGAGCCTATTTGTCGAATTATCGTCTCTTCTGCGACCAAGACAGCTTGCATGATTTTCAAAAAAACAGAGGTCACTCAAGTCAAAGATGGTGAAAATGACTGCTGAAGTAATAGAACTCAAAATTTTTACAGTTAAGCAATAGAAGGTATACGAGATATATATATTTCAGCAAGGCGAATAAACTGATACAGAGAGGAAGATATATAGGGCTCCTTTTATGAAATCGAAAATGGTAAACGAACTAATGGTGTAATTTTTTGACTAAGCTTTAAGTCGACTCAACAACAAGCTCTTATTTTAAAATTAATTGAAAGTAAAGAAACTCTTTTAGAAGTAAGGTTCAAAAGTTCTATTATTCCATGTTTTTATGGTAATACTTAAAGAGGTAAAATTGTATACTTTCTGCTACCTCAGCTAAGTCATTAAAAAGATGTAGACGTGGAGAAGAATTACCACCCAGTGGCTTAAAAATCATATTTTGAGCATCAACAATCGAAACACCTATGATGAATGAAGCATTAACTTAAACAAATAAATACTATTAATTTGTCGAGGTACCGCATTAAATGTAGCTTGCAGTGGCAAGAAAGATTGTTACCTACGAAAAATGGACATGTAATTCAAGCATTTTTTTCGATTCAGTAAACTTTGTCATTAACCAATCATAATAAGCACTCTTAACAGAACATGAGCAACTTCTATTATTTAATATCAGCTGGCAATAACCCTGGAGTTATAGACGATCCACCAACTTTTAATGAGTTTTGGCGCAAAAAAAGATGTTCGTACATTTACGAACTAGTGTGGTGGGGGTAAATAGCGGCAGACATGTGGGGAAGGTCAATCAATAATTTGAGGTCAACCTTGTGGCCAAAATTTAATTGAGATGAGTTTTTTGAATCTTTGAATGTGCGTATTTACTGTGCGCGCTGGTGGTCGTATTAAGAGTGCAAATAAATGTATTTGAAGTACAATAGTTTCATATGTGAAATCATTTGAAACATGGGTTTGAGACCCTTAATGGCATGTTCGTTAACAGCTAATTCAGGCCTATGCAAATATCTCAAACTGAAAATCATTCTGGTGTTACTACTGCCTTATCAATGCTAAAAAATAAAATAGTCTTTAAAACCTTTAATAGAATTATATATGTGATAGGAATCGCAACCGAAATAGGTCACATTCTTTTTCGAATTACTCATAATACCAGGGACATGAATTTATAGATCCTCCTTAATTTGCCAAAATCACATGAGATCAAAGGAGTGATAAAAGTAATTTTTGAGGTAGAAGTATTCTGATGTAGGTACTTTTCCTGTATTTAGTAATTTAATCAAAATGTCAATCCAATCATCCGTATTAAATAATTAAAATAAACAAAGGGGTAGGATTGTATTTACACCTGTAGAAGTAAAAAATTGAGTTAACATAACCAAGAATCTCAGTTCAAAAGGCATTCGAAAATTGAACGAAAAACATCTGCTGAAAGTCCACTGATGATATCGATCAGACAATGAGATAAGTCTAGACAACAAATGTTGTTCAATATATAACACAGTTCCGGAAACCAAATGGAAAAAAATTTATTCAAATTCAAAACGAATTAGATAAAAAAGATACTCTAATTATTTACTGAGGTAAGTTTATTAGATAAAGTTTTTTGCGTGTTCATGAAGCTAAAATATTTTTAAAAGCAGAAGGAATATGCAAACGGAAAACAAAATTTAAGCAAAGAAGATAAACGAATGGCAAAAAAAATAAAAATAGAAAGTTAACTCACATGAGGATCAAAGCGAAGTTGATTCTGGTGATAAAGATTTTGATGCAAAGACCGCTTTGCAACTCGTCGGTGTTTAAAGTAGTATACTCCAGGCATAATCTGTAAATATATTTAAAAAAGAAGTTTGACAAAAATTAGCCCAAATTCAAACTGAGAGAACGGAAAATTTATGAATGAACTAGTATCAACGAAAGCGCAAGATATTAAAGGGTCTTACTTCTCCAAGATAAATGAATCCATATTTAGACGCTAGTTCCTTTGCTGCAGACTCACCACCATCAACTTGGGCTGCCCAGAAAGGAGTAAAACGCTTGTCAACAGGATGTCGAGGGTGAGAACGATTTTTCATGAGTTCTTTTAAAGAACGCTGATACTCAAGCGATTCATCGAGTGGCGATAAAATTGCAAATGACAGGCAATTCATAAGTGATAGCAGCAATATTATTGTCGTGCAAGACCACAAAGTGGAATAATTTGAAGTTATTTTTCTAGATCTTGATGGTTCACAGAAGTTGTGGAAAATATACGAGAGCATGTAGAGACCGTAATTTTGTTAAAGACAACAAACAGAATTATACCATGACATAAACTAATACAATTGTGAGACTGGATATAATTAAAGCCCAAATAGCGCACAAAGTTTCGGTGGAAAAATATAGAGTCTTGTAAAATGTGACCTATTTATTGCTGTCAACACAAAATAACCGAAGGGTAAGGGCAAGTGGCATTTAAATGTATGGAATGATTATATTGCATTTACATTGATGCGTCTAAACAACATGAAAAATAGCTTACAAACATTTATTGTAAAATTTAATTCTGTAACGGCTTAATTTACTTTCATTAATTTAAGTTAATTGCGTATAATATGTAATTTTGAGAAACTTTTTAAAGCATTTTGAACGATTTTAAATATGAAAGAAATTCTAGCGCAGCCATTTCATAAAGTACTACATACTTACGAGTTCGGCATATATTGTATCGATTATATAAATTCAATTGTTATTTCACTGAAATACTTCAATTGCTGTAATTTCGGTAAAAGTGATTATTTATAACTCAGAACGGTATTTCTCTTAAATAAAATTATTTGGCTTTTTTAAAATAAAAATTGTTGCCTAGCTTTGCGAATTTTGAAACTATATTTGCTCTAAATTTCACTTCACCGAAGGAGTCAAATAATCGGCAACTAAAAGGATGGAAGAAGCTTTTATCTTTCAATGGTATCTATTAAAATATTCAATTTGAGTGCTGAACAATCTGTCAATTGTCCTTTTCTGAAACAACTCAGGGTGTGGAGAGATTATCTTTGTTTGGTACACTAACTTAAGTCATGCCTTTGCTAGTTAAAACCATAACATGATCCCGTTTTTTGAAAATATTTTTCATTCCTACTTCGTTTTCATTCTTAAGTCTCATTTTACAAATTTTTGTAGTAAGACTTACTGATGTCATTCCTGGCCCATTGATGCTTGTTAAATACCACTTTGAACAGTTTCGATCATTTACCCAAGCATACATATACTCTTTCCTTTATATATTTTATTAATATAGTTAGTTCATTTCTTTTGTCCATTTGATTTTCTTCCCTCTAAATTTACTCTCGATTATCACATCTGCACTGCACTCATTCAGACCACTGATTGCTAGTATTTGAAGTATGTTATTTATTCAAGAGTTTATAACAATCTCGCAACCAAAAATACCTCCCAACTTTCAGATTTTCCAAAAATTTTCTATTTACAAAACTCAAAGTTAAAGTAAATTATGTTATTTGAATTAACTGCTGTCGTAGTGACGGTCAGTAGGTGGTAGGATTACCTTTGCTTAAAATCAGACATTAATTTTCCAGTCTTCCTTCCAAGTGGTTGTTCTTAATTGATTATGCTAAACTAGATAACGAAAAGGAAAATTGTGAGTGACATTAAAATTTTAGAATTTCCAAGTTTTTCACGTCAACATGAATGGCAATTAAATACTAATATGCATAATTTAATTGGAGGCGCTCAACTGTAGGATATTAATAAGGGCATTTACTAGCACTTGAAAAAAAAAGAATTTTACTCGATTAATCACAACAGTCAAATATGGAGTATACCGACAGGGTTGTGATGTTTTTAAATAAGTGCATGATAAAAGTTACCTTCGTACGATTGAGTTAGGTTTAGGTGAAATCTTGCATTATTAAAATAAGTAAATAGAATTAGTTAAATGATTTTTTACGCTTTAAACTGTCAAAATATATTTCTAGTGTGGAATTTTGGAGGGCAGATTCTATTTGATTCAAAGGGAAAAATAAAATATTTTTAAAGCATCATGATTGAAATCTGTAGAGATTTTGACTTGAAAAACTAATTTAAGATAATTTAATAGATTCTAGCCTTTATCTCGAAAGAAAGAGGTTTAGAAATATTCCTTCGGGCTATTTGATTGAACACAAATGTTTTAAGTCTTACTTTAAAGTAAATAGGCAGAAAATAAGTGACAGACCTACACAACCAATGTTTACAACTTTCTATTTGTATACAAATTCATGTTCATAGCCTTAAGAGTAATAAATAACGTCTAATACGACTTCATTCCATATTCAAAAAGTCATTTTTATTAAATTATATTTCACAGGAAAATGACAATTGGGATTCAATTTTGAAAAAAAACAATAATCTGTTGGTACTTATGTACTGTCCTTACTAAAGTAAAACGAACTCGACCGGACTCTTGATTGTTATTTAAATGCTTTTCATATTTAAAATTCGGGTATGGGACTTCAAAAGGTACTGAGTATTGACCAATAAAAGCCAATTTGACATTTCAAACATGAATGTTAGCTTAGCTTGAGTTGAAATTTTGTGATCAAAACTCATTTGCATCTACTAAATAACTGTACCAGTATAATACAGTTAATCTACAGTCCGTTAAAAAATACGATTTTAACATTCAAGGGATAATTAAGTAGGATCATAAGATATTTAACATTTGAAATAACAATTAGTTTGAAATGGCAAAAACGCTTGCCTTCAAGGATTTGTTTTAATTTCCTTTCCAAACAGAGCTATTGCGAATATTCGGCCAGCCAGCCAACCAGAAAGAGCGGTGTCTTTTCAGCCTTCGGACATTATTTGAGGTACTTGATGGATAAGTTAACGAAACTTGTAGAGCGACTTGAGAACATAGCTGACCATTTGGAAACAGCAAATATTCGTGAAAAATCGTTAAAATTAATTGAAGGAGACAATAATAATTCCGTTGTTTTACAACCTTCAAAAATCCCAACAATGAATAGTGCCTTAAATGCTCCTCTTCAAAAACTCGTCTCCCTTAGTGCGGACATAAGCCCTGATGTCAAAAAACAGGTATGACATTTTTAACTTAAAATTGTTTCAGTGTGATTTGCTTGTTGTTGCCTTCAAAGCTGTATCAGATTTTGTCGAATCCGCTTCCTCAATGTCAAAGCCTAGTGACTCCCAACTTCCTGGTGTTCTTAGCCCATGTTCTGCTGCCATTCAAAAGGTTGTGGAATACAAGGACGCCAATCGAAGCTCTGCTGACTTTAACCATTTGGCTGCTGTCGCTGAATCTGTATCGGCTCTAGGATGGGTAGCCATGGTATGTGCATCTTTTGTCTTATATTTCGTGTCTTTTTAGTCCGGAAAGCCTTGTGATTACATTGAAGAAATGTCAGAAGCTGGAAAATTTTACTCAAATCGAATTTTGAAAGAGTTCAAGGATAAGTAAGTTGTTTTTCTACATCTCGTTCCTACTGGAATTAATTTTGCTCTCCAATTACACCGTTGTCATCACCTCTATCCGATTTAAAGATACAAATGATTCCTTTCCAGTTTTTTATTTTTCTGATCATTTGGTACAGGAGCGATGATCCTTCTCAGTGTAAAGTGCTTTTTAACCGCTCCAATGGAAACACTTGTGACTTAACTCAAATAGTTTCCAAAAATTAAAACAAATTTCAATTAGATAATTTGTAGAAAGTTAGAATAAACAGCAAGCTTAAGGTCGTATTTCTGAATTCTTGGTTCTTGATCCTATTATTGTTACATTTGTAGGTTTGTTTTGTGGTTCTTAAAACAAATTCCTATCAATACGATCTACCTTCTCACTTGACATTCGTGTGCTTCAGTTGATTCAGACCTGAAGGAAGCAAAATAGTATAGTTACTCCAACTATAAAAATGGTTTATTAATAATATTTATGTTGAGAATTACAATGCTTTTTGGACTGTTTACAATTTTGTACCGACTAACTACAAACCCGTCAGCGGCGGTGTGCACCCGCATATTGATGAGGATAAGCATCTTATAGCATTGAGAATTGAGCATTACTAAAACAGACACATCTCTAATGATTTAGCATTGTTTTGTCAGTTCTTTCTCAACGGGTTATCCAGTTTTGTCAATTTGGGCACGTTTGAAGCCTTGAATTTTCCTAATATCAGATTTGATCTGCTTCTAATTGAAGCAATATGCTCGTTTGTGATATTGTCTTCCATCCTCGTTGTAGAGACGAGAAGCGCGTTCAGTGGGTGCACGCACTGACTGATCTCTGGAAGCAGCTGAAAGCTTACACTAGTGCCAACTACCCAAGTGGTCTGGTCTGGGGCAGCGCGGGTTCTCCCTCTTTTGCCCCTCCACCATCATCAGGTGGAGCTCCACCACCGCCACCCCCTCCTTGTCCTGAGCCCTCTGAGGTGGGTCCATTCATTTACTTATCTAGTTTCTCTCCTATCCTGCTGTTTGCTCAAAAGTCTTCTATTCCAAAACAAATCTCAGTACCTATATAATTTCTCCATTAGAATTCTGTTTCGCCTTCGGATGAATATGAGCAATTTGGTGAATTAGTTTATGGCTATTGACATCCTAACTAATAGGAATACTGCATTTCTACATCTTTTAGGCTTAATAGATTTCACTGGAGCTCATTCTTAGTAGTTATGCAGTTATTTGTTTCAATTCAATTTTGAGTCGAGTTGAGTTTCTAAAAATCAGTTCACTTACTCAATTTTCAATTACTTTGAATTTTGATTACCTTTTCCTTGAATGAGGTTTTATTTATTTAATTATATGTGTTTTTTACTTCCTATTTTTGGTCTTTATGCAGCAAATTATCTACGATTCTGCTAGCAATCATAATATCTATTTTATGTTATGTGTTTAATGAAAATAAGTGCATTACTAAATCTGTTCCACACTGACTCATGTTTGGATGGTGCTTTCATTGCCTGGGAATCCCATTGGCTATTAGCTTCGTTTCTTCCCCTCCCACGCAGTAGTCATTGGTCGCTTAGCCCAGTTATCTTGTTGGCTTCATTTTTTGTAAAAATCATTCTCGCACCTTTTACTACTTGGCCAGGCGAATTCACAAAGCCTTAAGGCCTCAATTTCTCCAATAAATTATATGAAATTGGAGTTAAACGTTATCAGTTTTTTTCAACCCACTTTAGTTAACTCCTGTTGGTATTTGGTCATTTATTTATTTAAATCGAATGGTAGGCGTTTTGGTAGTTATCATTAGCCCTTTAGTTGACTTCAGCCTTCCCAGAGGGGAAGGAACGTCAAAGCGAGAAAAAATTCGAGAGAGGGGGGGGGGACAGAAGAGTGATTTACAGTTGTAAAAGAGACAGACACAAAGGTAAAGAATAGGTGCGATGAGTACTGTGGAAGGGGTCGAATATGGCATACAGTGGGGTCATGGTAGTTTGAAGTCAGAAATCAACTGCCGGTTAATAGACTTTTGCTGTATGAGAATACGTTGCCCAGGGTGCACCACGTGGAGGTAAGTCTATCGCACACCCCGGTATTTGGTCATTATTTGAGGCTATTTGGAAAGAGTATATGTCTTTGAAGGCATCCTTTTTATTGCCTCTTATATTATGCTTGAAATCACTGGAGTTCTGTGCATTTGCAATATAATGATTTTTTCTTCAGTGTGCTACCACACGCTTAACAACTTTGTTCGTCATAGCTTTAATTTAAATAACTGTCTGTCTGACAATAGAGACTGTTTTCTCCCATCGTGATTTAAAAAATCTGTCAAGTTAATTCTAATTTTATACCTGCCTACTTACATAAGTGCTTTTATTTGCAAAAATAAAGCTCTTGAAATCGAACTTAAGGCGAAATTTAAAGTGGAAATTTGATTAAAACGTGGGTATTCGTTTCTTCAAATCCACCAGTTTTGCTGAGTTTATTTCTATCAATGTGGATAAAACTTTTGTTTTAAACTTCTTTTGCTTTGCCTGATCTGATATTTCGTCTAACGTTTTGACTTCGATAAATTACTAGGATCGTGCTGTACTTTATACCACAACTTTTCCAGAAATTAGCTTGACCTCTAATCCACTTTACTGTATTACTTTTTCCTGAATAAAGTACGAAAGGTTCTGGTGGCATGACGGCTAAAGATCACATCCGGTTGGTCATTAACGAACATCTGTCGTACTTCTTCAAGACCAACCCCAGGGGGTTAATATTTTGCTGGAGAAGGATGGCAAAACGCGAGTTTTTCCTAGTAGAGATTCCAGTATTCTTATCTTCTGTGTACTGTGAATTGCGTTCAGTGGCGTTGACGTAGTGATAAACATGTTTGTGTGTGTGTGCAATCACAATTTACTCGTTCCATACCTACTGGAGTACACCTACTAACGCAGCTAGTAAAATGCAATACTTAAAAGTGGTAGAATTCAATTTGCTCCTTAGGAATCCAATTCTTTTCATATCTGCGCGAGATGAGTGCAGTAAAAAACACTTTACGTTAACAGGCTTGAGACTTGCGCGCAAATTCGATTTTCTGTGGTGGCAGAATGAATGAGTCATTACTGTGGTATGCCTAATCGATTGTTTGTTGTACCTACCGTTGGCCAATCTCGCAACTGCGCGTGCCTCTGACTGCTGTGTGTGTTCCTAAGACTGGGCGTGGGGGTCCTCGTGCATGTATTCATACACGACTTTTCCCCTATTCACATTAATTTTGCAAACCCGCTTCCCCCCCCCCCTTGTGATGCTTACGCTTCAGATTGTGTCGGACAATTTTACTTCTAAAAATAATCCACACGCGCGAGTGATAGACTATCGCAGGTAAACTGAATATGAATTCAAGTAGGGAAATTTCGTCTTGATAACGGAATGGAAGCTTTTAGTTGAGAACCATTTCATGACTAACGGAAGGGAAATATGTGCACATTTTTTCATTCCCCATATTTTCCTTATGTCCCGAAAAAAATCTAGTCAAATGTAGGTTTTGAAGTTTGAGCGCGTGGGAAGGGCTTCCCATAAAGCAACTCTTTCAGACTTTCTTTCTATCTCTTTCCTAAAATGTGTGGAGGCAAGTTAAACTTAAATTAATCGCTCTACTTTTGCAAGTCTGATCATTGAGTTGTATTTTTCTCTTTTTACTTGAAATTGGTTTCACTCAATGTTGGAGTCTAGCCATGTGCGCAGTATTACCGCGATGCATTGGCGGGGCTGACTACAACTCACTCATGTGCAATGACTTAAAAATCTTAGCGTGTCTGCAGGCTGCTCCCCTTCTCTCTGGGTTTCTAAGGTCGGTTATTAGAATGATCGCTTCCAGTTGGCATTGCGAGTTTATACAAATTTCAAATTATACGATTTGGAAGCAATTTGTCTCTATATCTCTACACCTTTGTCGGGCATTGACAAAATACCCCATCGAGTCATATTACCTAGGATTCCAGGCATTTGAATGTCCACCATCTTTTATGCAACCGCATTTTTAAAGTTACATCAAGTAATCTTTCCTTGAAAGCTTATGATCTTAGTTGGCTGAATATGTGGCTTTTACCATTTTGATCAAGACTATGAAGAAGGGAATTGGTTATATATACAGTCTCTCAAGGCTATGAATTGTAAACTTTAGAGGAAGCAGGCATCAGAGTGAAGTCGCTAAAGCGAAAAGTGGGTTAGTCAAACCAAAGTGATGTACCAAAGGTAATCGTTGTTTCTTTTACAGCACCAAATTTGAGAAAGGTAGGCCTTCTTCTATCTAGCTTGTCTCATTGACCCGGTCTGTAAACAAATGAACTCATACTGACTGCATGATCTGTATAAATTACCTCAAAGGAACATAACTCGTGACAGAGAGTATAGGGACTCAGTTCGTTAACTTGGGGGTCAAGTGTTGCCACCATTTACATATAATGAAATAATTTTGGAGGGATTATTTCCTTTTCTCAGGACAGATATTTTAACTGAAGTAGAGATCAACCCTTCATTATTCCACTTCGTGGGCAATCTAAGTTCTCTGTTATAAATGCATAGCAAGCAAATGGTTGGGAACTTATTTCTGTTAAGCGCAGTGAGTATTTAGCAAAATCAAATAGGTGTTTTGTTATTTTTATGCCTATGTGCCTTATGTTCAAATACCTGGTTTGTTTGTGAACTTAGTAAGCTGTTATATTACGAAATACTTTTCCCAAAAGCAGGCATTATTCCCTTCCCCAGTGTCAAAGCATTTCATCCCACTTTAAAATTCATTTTTACTAGCCATTTGAAATAGTAATAAACAATTTCATTAACTGCTTCTGTCTCTCTTCTGCTTCTAGTCTTCAGCACAGCCTTCTGGTCCAGACACTAGGGCACTGTTTGCTGAAATCAACCGTGCTGATGCTGCAAGCAGGGGTCTTCGCAAGGTGAAAAAGGGCGCAGAACACGCTGCCGGTGGAGTTGTCCCGAGTGGAGCTAAGAAAACCGCTGCACCGGCCATCCCTGCACGACCTGACCAACGCAAGGCCGTCGACCAATCCAAAGTGGAACTGATTGGGAATAAGTGGAATGTGGTAAGCACTTTGATCTCTGCCACACTATTGACTCACCTGTGTGTTGATACAATGGATTTGTTTAAGAGATGGCAGAAGTAGCCAAATACCTGATTGGGGAAAAAAGTTAGGTTAATTAATCTCTATCTTCGGTTTTTTCACGCCGATGTCTTTCAATCATAATATTTATTTATTTATTTATATCAAATGGCAGGCGTTTTGATAGTTATCATTATCCCTTTACTTGACTTCAGGCTTCACAGAGGGGAAGGAGCATCAAAGTGAAAAAAGTCGAGAGGGGGGTGGGGGTGGGAGCAGAAGAGTATTTCAAATTTGTAAAAGAAACAGACACAAAGGTAGAAAAATGTGAGTTGATTACTGTGGAAGTAGTGATATATGACATAGAGTGGGGTGCTTGTGGTTTGAAGTGAGAAGTCAACTGCCAGTTAATAGACTTTTTAGCCGTATGGGTATACGTTGCCCAGGGTGCACCACGTGGAGGTAAGTCTATCGCACACCCATCAATCATAATATAAAATGGGCTCTCGCATTTCTACCGCGGTTTTCCGAAAGTATGCCCACCCGAATAAAGGCCCATAATGGGTTAATTGGTTCCAAAAATGGTTTCATCAAGCGGAATTTTCAGTTTAACCGCAATGGACGGACTTTCAGAAAACTCCGGTACTACTGCAACCGCAATGGGACTAAAATTTGGGTGCTGACTTTCTTGGGGTTATTTTCACAGTAGCTATTCCATTTCCAGTTCCTTTTAGTGTTCTCGAAATTGCGTGAAATCGGTTTATTTAAAGCTAGTTGTTTTTCCTACCCAATAGTGACTGCTTACCGTTACATCTTTTGTTGTTAAGTGAAAGTTGAATCTGAATCCAAGGGGTGTGTGGAAAAGTCCACATACAGAGAAAAATTAAGAATTATTGTGAAGCATGTTATTGACTCATTTGTTGAAAAGGGTATGAGCTCACAAGAAATTTGAGTTTTTACCGAATACACGAGCGCAAGTGTGTGTGTGTGTGTGTGTGTGTGTGTGTGCTTGAGTTTCGTCACAGTGGGTGATTTTAGCGAGTCAATGAATATTATAATTTCCTCGCCTACCTTGCTTATCATTAGAGTTTTGCAGTGTCAATTTCCTTGATCATCTGTAGTGCTAGATGCTGAATACTCCCTTTCTCCTTTGAATATACTTTTTTTCGTACCGCTTAGCTCTATTATCC